ATAGCAAGAACAATATAGGTACATTCAATTTAAAACAATCCGAGTTTGGCTTATATTACTTAGCTAATTCTATTTGCTAAAATATGTGAATTAAGAAAAGTGAAAGGACAGGTGGATAGCAACAGCGATGATAATAAATATAGCAAAGACAATATAGGTACTGTCAACCTGCTCAATTTCTCTTCTCCTAAATTAAACAAATAAATGAGAACTAAAGCAGGGAAATATAGAGTTAGAATCCTTCACTAATATGAATATGCTATAGTTTCTAAAGAAAATAAAAGTAAAGATCTCTCAACAATGCTTTTATTAATAGAGGAGTCAAGAAAAAGAGGAAAGAGTCAAAAAAAGAGACAAGGGGATATTTGTAATTATATGAAGACAAAAACAAATATTCTATTTACAAGATACTATTGATGATTTGGATATATGTTTTAATTTTAACATATCAAAGTTTTTGAACACCTATAAATATTGTTTTAGACTACGGGATCGGTGCTCATGTCATGTGACTCAGGAAAGGGATCTTTATTAGCATTTTATGGCTGAAGGTCAAAATCGGTGTTTAACGAGAATTTCAAGTTGACAATTATTTTTAAGCAAATAAGAAAAGATGTTCTTCGAATCAAAATACCTATAGTTTATTTGTCACATTTTGGTGATTGATGTGTGACTTTTGGAAAGAAAATTGTATTTTTGTCAGATGAATATATAAGATCTACAGTACGTTCAATTTAACACAATTTGAGTTTGGCTTATGTTACTTAGTTAATTCTATTTGTTAAAATAGGTGAATCAAGAAAAGTGAAAGGGCAGGTGGGTAGCAACAGCAATAATGAATATAGTGAAGATAATATAGGTATATTTAATTTAATACAATCCAAATTTGACTTATATTACTTTGTTAATTTTATTTGCTAAAATAGATGAATTGAGAAAAGAGAAAAAACAGGCAAGTAGTAACAATAATGATAGCAAATATAGTGAGAATAATATAGGTATATTCAATTTAACAAAATCCAAGTTCAGTTTATGTTACTAATTCTTATCAATTCTATTTAGGAAAATCGAAAAAAAGAAACAAACAAACAGATAGTGATAATGATAATGACAAAGATAGTGATGATGAAATTGAGATACAGTCAAAAAATATTTCTGAAAGAAAATATACTAGTTAAAATTTTTTTTATTAAAATAAAGCCAGGTTAATTTAAACATATTTAATTTAATTTCGTTAAATTAAAGCAGTTATAGTTGAACATGCTTTAAAACTAATTCAAAATATATTAAATCGGTTTCAAATTGTTTTTGCATTGAATCTAAATTGGATTCAGATTTGGATTAGATGGAATCAAATTAAATTCGGATTCAAATCAAATTGAATCAAATTGTTATAGTTTCAAATCAAATCAGATTAAACTGTTATAGTTTCAAATTGGATCGAATCAGTTTAAAATGAATTGGATCCATATCCGATTTATATTTATAAAAACCAGATCAGATTGAATCTAGTTAAAATCTGATTCGATTCGATCCATTATGATTACTATCTGTAGTAGTGACCTATAGACAATAAAGTTAGTAGTTAAAAGAGCTTTTATCTAAATTACATATAAAACAATAAATAATTCTTGAAATTGCACTTAAAGTTTTAAAAAATTATAATATAGAAATAAGTGAGTTAAATAAAGATTTAATTTTATTGAAATATTTTAAAATACAAAACCTACAAATATTTAATAAAGCATATATATTTAATCTAACTAAGAATTAAAAAAACAAATACTTTTTTTTTTTTTAAGTGCTAGCATAGTCTTGTTTTATTTGAATATAGTAAATATTATATATATGTTATAGATAAACTACTTTTGTTTTTCAAGTAAAACTTCGATAAGAAAAAACCTACTTCATAGCAGTGCCACCCTTTTTTTAAACAAAGGGGCTAGTAAAGGGTTTACTGGTGCAAGAAAATTAAGAAAAATCTATAATATTTATATTTGAATCAATATTTTCTTAGATTTAAATCTAATGATAATAATATCTATTCAATTAATATAATTCTATTTTTTAGGTTAAATTATAACTACAAATAAAAACTATATAAGATTAAATAGAAAAGAAGACTTTATATATAATAAAGAAAATATTGGTAAGAAAGGTGAATTGGTCTTGATATGAAGTAATTTGAAAGTCATATTAATATTACCACTTTTATACTATCAGCTAATTACTCTTTGAAAGCTTTATTAATTCAGATCATAATATTTTTTCTTCATTACTTTCAATACAACCATATTATAGTTTTTTATCTTTCAGCTCTAGTTTTTTCTTTTGATTTCCACTTTATTCTATCTAGTATAGAATCTCTGTCAATATTCTTTTAGGTAATAATAAGTCAGGAGTTATGAGGATTCTAGGATATAGGAGAAAAGTAGCTTGATAATACTGTTAGTGTATCTTCTCTTAAGCTATATGAGTGCTAGGAAGAAGGGACATATCATTCAATAACCTATCCTTCTTTACCATTGCGACAGTTTTATCTTAAAAAAGAAAGTCTTAATATATTTGGTTTGTACTTTATTGAATTTGATAAATATTATACTGTTTTTCCAGAATACTATCATTTTGAGAGGTTAAGCCATAGTTCTTTTTTTTTCAAACTATACATTAATCCTGTCTTTTGATTAGTATGAATGATAAATCTCTTAATCTATCAATCTAATGTTTTTAAAAGATAGGTATAATACTTCTTAGACATTATCCTCTTTCTATATATTCTTGAGTCTTGTTATAGCTATAGTTTCATTTAATAGATTCATATAATATGTTGTTGGGATTCTTTCTTGATTAAGGCATTAATGTAGAAGAGATTGTATTCTATATCCACTTGCACTACAACTTATTATCTTGAGGTGGACTTAGGTTCTTATAGAATTGAGGAAATACTTTCAGATATGTGAGATGATCAATAGGAGCTTGTTTATATTTTTTTATTAATGTATTTTCTACTAGCCAATTATTGTTTAAGAAACTTTGTGTTACTCAAAATTCAGGATCAAACTGAGGTAGGCAAAATTTTTTAGAAAAAATCAAGAAAGAGTACTCTTAAAACAAGCACATGATAAAAAAGTGGATGGTTGCCTTCAAGATAAGTTTCTTATCATTAAAAAAGCTTTGTGTTGTTTCTTTAATAGATAAATAGATAGTAGCATTTCAGTTTTTCTTTCTTTCAAAACTTTTTTGCCATTGGTAAGAAAGATGTATTTATGACTTTAATCACTAAAAGTCGGGTTTTTATTTGAAGAAAATGTTTATAAGAGAAAAGGAAAGATAGAAATAATTCTTGAAATGTTATTTCAAGTTGATTTAAAGAAAGTGATAAGACTTTATTAGTAAAGAAATATAAAAATTTCTTGGAATGTCTTTTTTGTGTGTGATCAAAGGATCAGTGAAAAGAATTTGTGCAAAAAAACAAATACTATATATTATAGAAATAAAAAATAAATAATAATATATAATTTTTTAGTTTAAACTTGATATTGAAATTGCTGTATATGAAATGATATACTGTACATAAATTATAAATTTTAAATTAAAGATAATCGACAATTTTTTAATTTACTTTCAAAAATAATCCCTCTTATACTTTATGTGCTGTATATATTTGTAAATTAAAAATTTTCATTTTAATATACAATATACTGTATCTCAAATAACTATCATTCGTTTATTTATTTACTATATTTTGTCTTATCCTTTTTATCTTAAAACGATTTTTTAAATCAAATCATGATCGTTAGTATCATAAATTCAGGGATTTTAAGATTACCAAGTAAGTCGATTATCTTCTAATGCTTATAAAGCCTTTACAATTTGTACCTATAGGAATCGTAAATAATTAGCCTCAAAGCATCTAACACTAACCATAAAATTTTCTTCAGACCTAACCGTTCTGTCATCACCTTACGGACTTCCTTGTCCGAAACTTGGGCTGTGGTTTAATTATTTACAACAGCCTTATATTCTAATTACTTCAACCTAAGAAAAATTAATCAAATATTTTTTTATACATATAAATACACACACAATTAACCAGGTGGTTGGGATTCCGTTGTCCACCCTAATGTAATAGACAACTAATTAAATTCACTGAATCTTATTCGTATCGCATCTTTACTCCCACCCGTGCCATTACATTCACATTTGCTCAATTTATCCTCTAATTCCGCAATTTTCTTTTTCAACGTTTCATTTTCTTTTCTCATCAAATCTATTACTTGGGTGCTCTTCACAAGTTTATGTTGCATCTCGTGTTCTCCCTATTTTAAGATACCGGAATAAAGAAATCAGCACTATCGGTCGTCTTCTCCGAAAGAAAATATTACAATAAGAAGTATTTTATTACATGAATAGGCTCGGCCAACAAATCGAATTCCAGTATTTGTTTTGCGTCAGGTCTTTTGTTAGGATCTTCGGCTATCATCCATAAAATAAATGCGGCCTGAGTAAACAGAAATATCAATAAGTGGGCAAGTAATATATAAACGGAAAGGATTATTTGCCAGGTGAGAATGAAGGTGAAGGTGACGCGTGATAAGGAACGAAGTGAACATCGAAGAAGGAATTAGGAAATTGGTTAAACAAATACCTCTTTCGGAAAACGTTGAACAAATTCATTAGGCAAGAATCCATCTCTCAATTCCTTTAGAACCTTAACACGTTCGTGACCGGTGGAAAATGGAAAATAAAGTTCAAAGAATATGATGCCTAATGAGTAGATATCAACCTTTTCATTATAAGGCCTAACTGGCTTAGCAAGTTGTTCGGGAGAGGCATACTTATTTAAACAAATTTGAACTTTGTTAGATGAAAAGGTTTGAATTTCAAACGATCGAGAATGAAGAATACTATAGGATTTACCGTGACTGTACCAACTCCCGTGGTTCTCGATTGGGAACCATAGGATAAAGAATTCGATCTTTTATTAATAAGATGACTCCTATTACCAGAATCTTCAGGTGCACTGCCAAAGTTAAATGATTTAAATGATCTTGGATCTATGTAATTGTAATCGTCCATCGGTAGATCCAGATGATCTTCATAGGCAGCAGTTACCAATCCGAAATCTCCAATTTTAGGCACCAGTCGCGAACCATCAGCGTTACTTTGTCCTGTTTCGTGAACTAAATCCATAAAAATGTTTCCAGGTTTAAGGTCTCGATGAATCAAACCTTGTTCATGAATATACGCGACGCCACGGACAATCCCTCTAAATAATTCGATGGTAACCTGACGATTTATAGCGTTCAAAGGATCTTTTTTAGTCAACAAGCTTGTGTCACGCCGTTTCAGATAATCGTACAGCGTAGTATGGCAAAGCTGCATTTGGATAAAGAGAGTCCAGTCTTTTACAACGTTCAAAGATTCACAAGGACGTTGATGTGATTCGAATGAATCATCACAACTTTGTGACTGCGTATCTACCGATGATTCTGAATGCACCTCACCCACAAAATCGACTCCACTGTAATCTTTTTCTCTGGTATCTTCATCCGTGAAAGACATTCTAAAGATGTCCGAGTCATCATTTGCATCATTGCTGGTTTGGAATCCCAGAGAGTTAACAGCGTCCGATAGGTCCTGTGAAACTTCGAAAGATTCCTCTCGCTTTCTGTTATAGGCATACTCTAACCAGGAGCTATAATATCTAACGACATTTGTGTGTTCCAGCCGAGCAAGTGATTTGATTTCTCGAAAAATCTGAAGTCATAAAGTGATATTATTAAATGCACGAATCGATTGATCAAGCATGTATAAAAAAAAAGTATGATGGGTTAAATTACCTTTTCTTTTTCTCCCAGAATTTTATTACCTTGGAGCTTAACCTTTTTAATAGCATAATGGACCCCATCTAATTTATTCTTGGCCTACATGAATAAATTAATAAATTTCGAATAATGAATTCATGAGTAAAAAGACGTGTGTTTAGAGCCTACCTGCCATACACTTGCGAATCCACCTTTACCCAGTAATTTTATCTCGACAAAGTCATTACTGTAACGACTATTGTGAAGGTCCAGTATATCTCCGAAAGTAATATTTCTGAAATTCCGAGAATTCACGTTACTTAAAATCGCAGTAATGATAGAAGATTCAGTTTTTAATATGATGTATTTAAATTCTAGGAAATTCATGAGATCGCAAACACCTACCGAATATCATCAAGATCGTTGCCACTCTTAGAGGTACTCGTCTCCGGAGCCGAGGAAACAATCATGTGAGACGATTGTTCTTGCTTGATCGAATTCAAAGCCTGAACAACCAAAGCTTTGAATGCACGATAATAAGTAAATCGAACGGCAGACACTTCATCAATATACTTCATCAGAAATTTGAAACATGTTAAATCTTTTTGTTCCATTTTATTATTTTTTTTTTTATTTAAAGTCAAATCCTACGTATTTGTTGGTTTTATTTACAATTATTCGTCATCGTAGATCAACCAACCTCTTCATCAATAATGCCCATAGCGCTCAGCGACTTGCAAATGGCGTAGAACAATTTTTGATTTTTTTCCGGATTAGTAACATATAACGAACAGAAATCTTCGAGAAGTGAAACCAAGAGAAGCCGTCCTAAAATCAAAATGGTGTTATCATAAAGCGCGTTGCAAATTCTTTATTATACGAAGTATAATCAGCATACCTTGGCGCCGTTTGTTTTCAATTATGTCACCAGGATCGCGAGTTTTAATCGGAAGCCTCAATGGATTTGCTACCGCTAGGCTGATGTCTGATCGATTTTCACCTTTTCAAGAACACGTAATATACAGTAAATGAGAATTTTCGGAATCCATCAAAATATCTTCGGAAAAATATAAGCTCACCACTAAAACTTTCAATTCTGTTAAATACACGAGATCCACCATCTCCAGTGGTGGAATCATCAAATGAACCAATAGCCTCGACGAAATCTCTTGAATTCAATGGCAAATCTTTAACATGCCTATTCCCAATTGTTCCATTCTCGCTTATTACCGATTGTGCTTCCCCAACTGATGAGTTATCATCAAAACTTCGAGATCTTGGAAAGTTACTTCTCTGGCTACTTCTAGTAGTAAGACTTATTGACCGTGTATTTGCAGTCATGGAGAATTCTTCCTATAGGCTTTCATGATATTTTTCCTAGGAGGGGTGATTAATGTTTATGTGGTATTAAACCAAATAAATAATGAGGCTGTCGAAAGATTAATGAGAGGTATATAGATTCTATTAGGTGTTGATAAGGGTAATAAAATATCGTGAGTGATTCAAAGTATAATCATAAATCTATTAACTATTTGTTGGGCGTGTATATGCGACTAAGGTGGAACCGTGCCTTTT